AGATATGCAAAAAGATATGCCAAAATATGCTCGTCATAAGCAGAAAGTGTAGATCATTTCAGTAAAATTACAACCTTGGAATATTCATTGGCTTCACGGCTATCATGCTTATGATGCAAATCAAAACACATGCGGAATAGTATGGCTGGGGTGTGTCCCCAGCAACTGTAGCGATAGTGTTCATCCATGGGGAAATGTAGCAAACGCCTCAACCATTCCAAATTCATCCATAAAAGGCATTTCTGAACGCATTTTGTCCATTATTATAATATAAATATGAATGCTTTATCCTCATTTTCTTCAGAATATTTGAAAATGCTGGCTTCATTTCAATATTCCCTTTGTCGCTCAATATGCCATACATGAACTGTCTCACAAAATATGCGGAAATATGCGCACGCATATTAATTTTGGTCGAGGCCTACTTCCCACCCACCCAAGGTCCACACTGACCCATGCTACTACTTCAAGTACACACACAGTACATATGAGACCACCAACCCAAGCATGCAGCTACTAATCACGGACACCCGAATACACCCAGCTTATCATTCCCACTTTTGCAGGTACATGCAGCTCTGCGCTGAACGGCCCTAGAGTTCGACAACCTACCAATGCCAAATTTGCCTCACATTCCCACTTCTACTGATAGTTCTGCGCGGAACGACCCTAGACTAGAGTTCGAAAACCCACCGATTCCAAATCTGACTAACATGAAGTCAAACTACAATGGAGTCTGTCAAAACCAGACGTGTCACTCATACTCTCACTACACAACACACCTATCTAAGTCTTAGATCATGCTGAACCTCGATATAAGAGCTGCACAATGCACAGGAAGGGGTTTTCTCGGGTTTGGAGCGCACAACAGGAAAGACATTGGCCACTTCGCCATTGCCGAGCCACCGTGCTCACAGCAGTGACTTTCTGTATCGGTGTGTTGTTGTTGTGAAAGTGGACCGACCACAAAGACCACTCGCTACTTGTCTACGGCTTTCTTGTGGAGGAAAGCAATACGCAATACGCATGGGCACAGGAAGGGGTTTTCTCGGGTTCAACGGGAAAGCCATTGGCCACTTCTGGGTAAAAGGACGGCGGTCTAGCGGCAAAAAGTCATTCTCACTCAAATACATGTACTCGTAAACAAATCAGCCTTTGGCTGAGGGAGACCGGACCGGACTTGGAAAACGGGGAAGTACCGGTATGGAGGAGAAACGAGAAAAGGATGAGGGCTAAGGCCACGTTCAAAGGTATGGCATTATCTAGTAAAAATCATGAACATTGCTCTCTCCTGTAAAAGAACGTAAATAGGACTGGCGCATCATGGACTAAAGCAGAGCGGCAGGCAAACCTGAGTGCAGGAGATGGGAACAGCTAGTGCATGCCCCGGTGAGCTGCCGTGGTCTGGGGAGCTTTGCGGCAGAGACGACCCCATGGCGACTCGCATGGCAACACACCAGACTCAACATGAACTCGTGGTGGTGTTACCTGCCATGGCTATGCCGGACTATTCCTGGCAAACTCCGCACTAAAATATACCATATTTATCAACCATAAGTACAGCTGCAGTGGTGTCTTCAACTTCATTCTCCCGAGTCAAGCTCCGTATGAAGACATCCAAGAAGAAGATTGCCTGATGAGTCCAGCGGGGACGAAACGTACGTCGCAATCGAGCTATGTCGTTGCTGTGTCATCTTCTATGTGCCATGCGCTACTTGATGTACCAGCCTGCTATGTCGGATACCGCCAATCATGCATCGACGAGGCGCCAGGCGCGAACTGATGGTGGTGGTGAGAAGGAGAGCTCTGTGCCAGAACTTTGCAGCTTAGAGAGCGTGTGTGGCCAGGCGTGTGTTTATCACCATATTGCCAGGTGTGTCTTTACCACCATAGTATCAACCATAAGTACAGCTGCAGTGGTGTCTTCAAGTCCTGAAAGAGGAGGAAGAAGCGCCTGCACACTGCGTGCAGCATGAAAGCCTTTTTTACTTGTAGTGCCTGAGCGTTCCTCGGCTCCACCAAACACCTGACTGTCCTGAGCCGCTTAGTGAGACTTTCTGTCCGCGCGAGCCTTGATTTAGTTCAGCTGTCAGTTTGTGGTTAGGTGTGAAAGTGTACCAATCCCTTACATACAATTGCCCGTGTCATTGTGATGGCCTGGCCGGGGTTTAGCAACTATTGTATTAAATACTACTTCAGACCATAGAGTAGCCTACAGAGAGAAAGCCCCATATTTAAAAATAAAGGTAACCCGTGTGATCCCTCCAACTACTGCCCTATAACCCTACTCCCAGCTATTTCGAAAGCACTAGACAAGATTGTCGCCACCAAATTCGGTCACTATCTCGAGGTCAACAACATCATTGTCCCGGAACAGTTCGGCTTTGTCCGTGATCGCTCCACAGTTGACCAGCTGATACAGCTCACTACTAAGATCGCATCAACCATGGATAAACGCATCCCTTACGATGCTGCATTTCTCGATTTTGCGAAGGCCTTCGATAAAGTGCCGCATGACGTGCTTCTCCAGCAACTCGGGACTATCTGCGATGCTCCGGCTACGAGTTGGTTTAAGAACTACCTCGATACGCGTACATTCAGCGTCCGCGTCCAACACCATCTGTCCTCCCCACGTCCCGTCAAGTCTGGAGTACCCCAGGGTTCCCACCTCGGGCCATTGCTTTTCCTGGTACATATCAACAGCCTACCCAGAGCCTCGAAACGCAACCAGCACGCTGATGTTTACCTGTTCGTGGATGACACCGCCGTCGGCCAAGCACGAACCAAAGGTACCAGCCCAATGGAGACTGCCCTGCAGGACACATTTGCCTGGGCCGACCGATTAGGCGGAACCTTCAACCCATCGAAAACCGTTGTTATCTCATTCGCTGAGGAAGGAGCTGCAGAGACCATCCGCGGTATCCAGCCGTCAACCAGTCACCGTCACCTGGGAGTGTTGTTGAGTGAAACACTTAGCTTCCAGGAGCATAATTATTGAACAGACAATAAGCAAGTTTAGACAGCGCTGCGTTCTTCTGTGGCATATGGCTGACCGTTTAACAGGAGACATCGTCAGGAAGCTGTACCTTACGTATGTCCGCCCCACAGCAGAATACGCCGCCCCAGTATGGGAGTCCTCCCTCTCTGCTGCACAGCGGCTCACCCTTGAACGGCCGCAAGCCAGAGTAGCTCGCACAGTCATGTGGCTTGAGAGATGCCCTTGCCCATCAGACGAGCCCAAGTCATCATTGTTTAAACAGCTGGGGTGGCCAAGTCTATCCTGGCGCAGGAAGATCGCCTGCCTTATGGAATTCTTCCATTTGGTCACCACCCAACCAGAACTTTTTGAAGCAGCGGGGTACTGCCCCACGCGTAGTCGCCGCCGCCAACTCGCATTCACTCTGCCACGGGTTGGGAAACACGCCGGGAGGTCATTTCTCTTCCGCACCGCTACTGTCTGGAATGCCTTGCCCGCAGACCTGAGAGCCACAGCCTCGCAGTCCCTGTTTCACAGTCACATTTGCACGCACTTCTCTGACACCAAACACAATGCCACTCCGCACTGACATGCCTCTGTCCTCCTTCTTTGTGCGTTGCGCTTATTCTTATTAATTTTTGTGTTTCTGTTTCGGTACATTTCGTATTTCAAGGCATACCCCGAGGCTATAGGTATCATTGATTAAAGGACCATTCTGGAACATTCAGCATAATTGTATTTCTCTTGCTAGGCTGTTCATTACGAATTATTAGCCCTCCACTGTCTGCTATCTCAACCCTACAGCCTCCCATTATAATGGAACTCCCTTCAATTTAGACTACGTCTTTGGGAAATCCTCAAATATATTATAATAATAATAATAATAATAATAATAAAGAAGGTGAGAAATGCGCCCAATACAGTACAATCATAATGTATGCACAATCTTCTTTGCGCTATTGCTATCACATGTACTACCAAGTACAACATCTACTTCAGTACTTGGTCATGCAGTTTCTCTTTGCCCGTATTCCACCTCTCCTCAGGGCCGTAGCACCCGGTCTAGCCGGTCCGGCCATGGCTGGATCTCACCGTTCGAAAAGGTTGACCCACCCAATTCGTGCACACCGGTACATGCAGATCTAGGGTTGAAAATGAGGCAGTCCCTGATTGAAACAAGGTTCATTTTCCGTTCAAGTACAGTCGGCTCCTGATTCATATAACAAACATCATCGGGCAGGAGAATTAGTTCATGAATCATGCATAATGCTTGCTCACTGTGATTATCATTGTATGACATCACCACAAGGCGATACCCTGTGCCAAGCATGCAACACAACATTGAACAGTGGTGTTCATCATCAGTAATGCTGGCTCACTGTGACATCATTGCATGACATCACCACAAGGAGATACTGACAGAGATAGAAAAAAAGGGGAGAGAAAGGAGAGACACGCCGCCACCTGTAGCTGGTTATGATGTGCAGTTGCCATGACAATAGAGTGCTTGTAGTATCAGGCGCGTGCGCTGGTGCCCTTCAAGGGGGGGGGGTTCCGGGGGGCCTCCCCTGGGAAAATTTTCAAAAAATGAAGCAAAATCCTGCATTTTGAGCGAAAAAAAAGGGGGTTCCAGGCACCCAGGAACCCATACGGCGCACGCGCAGTCTTGTTGGATTCTAGACTCAGAGAGAGAGACATGACAACACAGCTGATAGGCAACGTGTCTTAGCTCATTTGTCCGCTGATAATGTGGATGGTGATGCTGGGTGCAGCAATATGATAGACTGAGCCTAAGATAAACTACATAAAGTGATTGCGAGACACACTCATCACACACAAGCTAATTACTTTGCTGCGAAGTCATAGCAAGACGTTGCGCTGTGCACAAACATACACATATGCGTAACTTACACACATGTGCACAAACACAAGCGAGCACCCCTCCCCTTTCCGCACACACACACGCGCACACACACACACACACACACACACACACACACACACACACACAAACACACACCAGTTTATTTACCACTGAAAACATCGTGTACCGTCCTGGGTCTGTTCAGTATGAACTCGCCTCTCCACTTGGTCTCCACGGACTCTGGCAAGATGTGCGCGTTCTGCACATGCGTCTTCAATGCACTCAACACGTGACTGTTTTGCTTCGTTGTGCCGGCGCGGCCACTCTGCTGCTTACCCAGCGCCTCCGCTGCTTTCCGGTGCGCCGTTTTGATCTTCCGCATGTTTGGTGCAGGTACGAGTGTGGGTGCACCTGCTGCTCCAGGTCTCATTCCATACTTTGCCATCCTTTCGGCATTGCGGTCTTTCGCTCGCTTCAGGCAATTACTAGGTGCACCATGCGACGGCGGCACCGATCGCAGAGCAAGTTTCGGCGGTCCCCTGGCACAGCTGGCCATCAGTACACGCGGGTTCACATGACTGGGAGAGAGGGTGTTCTTCTGCCAGTACGTCGGAATATTGCTGCTCGCCAAGCTCATATTGGTCATCCTTGGCGGTCGCTGTTGCTTGGGCTCTTCTCGTCTCTTCTGGCATTCGTGAATGTTTATGGCGCGCTCCTGTACGGGCGTGCGCTTCATGATCGCACCGACTCCTTGCAGCAGCTGCTGAGGCAGGACTTTGCCAGGCTCCACGTAGCAACCCTTTGATGGCTTTGCAATGGCAGGCATTGCTTGCTTGGCCTTCTTGGCAGGCTCTGGCTTGACGCCGGTTATGAAGGGATGTTGCAGTGCATCGTCGGCACTTAATCTCTCGTGGGGCCACCACACCAGCATCTTGGTGATGAAGTCACAGAACTGAGCATCCTTGGTCTTAATCAAGCTGAGCAAACTCCTGGAGGCCGGTGCTCCGTAGTACATGTCGTTGCTCATGTACCCGGGCTCCAGCTCATGGCCCTGCTTGCCGCGCGTCTTGCGATACAGCGGTCTGCAGGCGTCGTCAAAGTGGCCGTCCGCGCGGTGGCCGGTCTTGATCAAGTAACGCGGAGGTACACCTGTCAAAGTTTTATAGTTTCAGAAGTATTGAATACGGCAGAAGAATAAGACTTAGACTTAGAGAAAGGGGAAGACAAAGGGGGTAGACAAGAAAGAGATAGACAAGAACCACTGGAGCATGCACTCTTCTCGTGGACCTGATGGGTTCTCACTACTAATACTACTATGGCAAAGGAGCGGAAACTTCCAATAGTGAGTACAGAGTATTATAGTCAGGAGCATAGCAGCCGGTCCCGCTTTGGGCCGGACCACAATTTTTTAGCACAATGCCCAAAGTGCCCAGAATGCAGGATTTTGTACCCTATTTCAAAAAATTCCCCGGGGACACCCCCTCCAGCCGGACCACCTCCAACAGCGGTGCTACGCGCCTGATAGTACTCTATGGATTTCTAGTATAAATACTCACGAAAATCCGGTGGAACAAAAAAAGTGAATAAATGTCTCTTTTTTTGTTCCACCGGATTTTCGTGTGTACTAGGCTCTGCACGCTGTGTATCGAGCACTGTGACCGGTAGCCAAGGTTCTTCTGTAGTATAAATACTCTGATTTCAGAAATTTTCGGTGCTCAATATTTTCGGTGTGAGGGCAACAGGCTAGGTTAGGTGAACAGAAATTTTCGGTACCGAGAAGCAGTTCCCTATTGGATTATGTGTGTTAGTGTTTGTGCGGTGTATTGAAATTTTAGGTGTTAAACAGACACACTGAAAGTACCGAAAATAAAAGCACACGGAAAATTAGTGAAATTACAGTACACCTCAGTATTACACACCGATACATTCCATGATCATGGCCATCATCTCCTCCTCATTGTCTCCGGGGAACAGAGGACTGCCGTTGACCATCTCCGCCGCTATGCAGCCAAGACTCCAGATGTCGATCATACGCCCTGTGTGCATGTCCATCACACGTAAGCAGCAGAAGAGAGCATCAGCAGTGTGTCGCACACTCGTGAGTAAATGGACTCACAGCAGCAGCAGCGACGAGAACGACAATAACAACAACAACAACAACAACAACAACAACAACAACAACAACAACAACAACAACAACAACAACAACAACAACAACAACAACAACAACAACAACAACAACAACAACAACAACAACAACAACAACAACAACAACAACAACAACAACAATAACAACAACAACAACAATAACAACAACAATAACAACAACAATGGCGCCAGCACCAGCAAAAACAAAGACAACTGCAACAATGAAAAAATATAATAATCAAGGCGGACATCCATCGAGCATCCTATGCGCTAGAGCTGTTAGCCAGTTAGTTGAAGAACGTCAGTACCGTCCGTTAGTGCCGTGCAATGTTATCACATGAGCTGATTGTTCAGTAACTGGTGGTGTTAGTGGACATTATAGCGCAACTTGTAGTTTCTTGGTCCTTTTCTTTTCTATAATTTATCCTTGGCTCTCCATCAGAGTCCACCATAACAGAAGCAGCACATATGTGACATCAACAGCAACCCCACAACAGTGTGATAGGCTCAGGGAACACAGCAGGCTACTGCATCGTCGAAGTACAAATATGGAGACAGGAACCCATGGTAGTAAAGCCTCGCCATTCAGTGAATTTAGCCTAACAGACCTGTGAAGTCTAGTCCTTGATGCTAGTGACATCATGCAAAGTGTAAATAAAGAGAGAGAGAGAGGGGGGGGGGGGGGGTGCGTGGGTGGGTGCACATGTCCGTGTATCTACATGTATGCATGCGTGTGTGTGTATGTATACAAGCACACACACAGACACACAGACACAGACACAGACACACATGTAGAGTTAGGGCAACTTACCATACTTGGCACCGAGGATGACTTCAGGTGCACGATAGTAGCGGGATTGCAGATAGCTATACAATGGACTCCTTTCAAAACAACTGATGCCAAAGTCTATAACCTACGCAACACGTGCACATACACATCCACATACATATGCACGTACACTTACACTTGCATAATAATGTGCAGTCAACTTCGCTAATAACGACTGCGGATATAACGACAATTCGCGAATAACGACATAATTTTCATGCCCGGAGCAAAGTCCCATCCAACTGTGACACATATAATGAGACTTCGTGTATAACGACACTTTGCGAATAAGGACACTTTTCTGATGCCCCGCCGAGTGTCGTTATAAGCGAAGTTGACTGTACGTGTAAATGTATTATACACTTATAAGTGCCCAGATAGGGTATACCGCGTGCTAGCGGCCGCCGCGAGTTCCCTTCAGGAAAGGACACGATAATTTACATTTTTTTTCTTTTTTTCTTACAAATGCCCATCGCTGAAGCGATGATAGCGGAAAAGCCATGTTAGACATAGTACCTTGTGCTGGGATGTAAGGTTGTCCACAGTCAAATGTGACCGAGGGGGGCAGGAGGCGCTACTGACCTCGATGTAGTGGTGGCAGGACTCATCTCGGGGGGGGGGGGGGGGGAGGGGAGGGGAGATAAGCCAGGTGTCGATATACAAGATTCCCAAGTACAAGTGCTTTGCCATGTGCTAGACTTTATTGTGAGTGTCCGGTTGGTCGGTTGGTCGGATGCTTGGTTTACTAGAGTCTGCAGATTCAAACAAAACAGGCCCTGATCGCACCAAAAGAGCTAGCTCGGGACCTGTGATGACATGCTTGTCATCGCCATGATGATATTTGCTGAGCGGCTAGTGCTCAGTCAGGTGTCACGGGTGAAGCCCTCGCTCGCCTATCGCGCTGCTGGGCCTTGTGATCACGTGATCATGCCCAACCTTTGGGACACACCCCATCCACACGCACTAAATATAGCATTGTGGACTCTGGCTAGCGACAGACGCTACTATTCGTAATGTATTTTGCATAGCTACAGGAATAAGAGAGGTAATACTATGTGTAAAAACTGCAAGGGGTCAGGGGAGGAGGTGTCATGAAGAACAACGATATCATAAAGAAACCGTGGCTCACAGAATGCTTTGCTACATGACTGCGCACCTTTGGGCAGTCTCTAGCCATACCTGCACGCATGCTCGCGCGCGCGCTCGCACACACACACACCACACACACACACACACACACACACACACACACACACACACACAGCAGAAAAGAAAGGAAGTATACACCATACACTGCTACAGCACGCCGCACTGTTTGCCAGTGACGAGAATGCACACCCAGTGATCAACCATGCACAGTGACTGCCACTGACTGTACCTTGAGTGACTGCTTGCCGCTTTGACCTCCCACCATGATGTTTTCTGGTTTCAAGTCGCAATGGATGATTTGTAACTTGTTCAGGCTAGACACACATCTGAGAAGGTCAGTTGTGAACGAGCGCACCTTGGCCATTGGTAAGCCTTGTTGTCCATAGTCAGCTAGCATCTGTCAGGTGATAGAGTGGCATGCAGCAACAGGAGCAGAGAGTAGATCTACACTAGCACACTCCGCACACTACGATACAGGTCTACCCTCGTTATTACGACATCGGTTACAACTTACAAGACAAATCTTGCAGCCTCAGGAACAAAGTTGAAGAAGTTCACCACGTTTTGCATAATTTTAACTTTGGTGTATCAGCTATTACTGAAACTTAGCTTAATGACACTATAAGCGATGACCCAGTTGTAATACCTGGCTATTCCATTCTTAGATCTGACAGAAGTAGCCAGCAAAAAAAAAAAAAAAAAATCACGGTTCGCATGAGACTCGGCTGGAAGCCCAGTTTTCCGCATCCGTCATGGGAACGCCACCAGCCAGCAAGGCGGGCGGAATATGTTTTTATGTCCGTGGCGGGCACTCACTCATCACTACCATCACCTTCCCAAATCCAAAGCTGTATGTAGTGTCCATACTGTATAGGCGATTTTGCTGACTCGCCACCATGACATCATGATGACATCATGATGACATCACCATGACATCACCATGACATTTGTCCAGGGTGCCAGCTTTGCATTTTAGGTCGGATTCCACTGAGCGCAACTGTGTAACTGATGAGTGCGGGGTACCCACCAGCACTACAGAGTCAGCATAGCCAACTCAACAGGGTGTTTTTTACCCCGGAACCAAAAGAACACCCCGCTCATCCCCAGGTTCTCATGAGCGTGGGGCAAGGAACTACAAGTTACGCTATAATGTACACTAAAACCACCAGTTACTAAACAATCAGCTCATGATCAAATTCACAGTGATATTTAAACAGGGAAGATGTCTGTATTTCGCTGCAACAAATGGGGGGGGGGGGTGCGGCTTATCCTCCGGAAACTACGGTACCTTTTGCAGATTGGTGTTGAGCAGCTCGAAGACCAGGCAGATGTGTCCGCGGAACTCAAAGTGCTCCAGCAGGCACACACAGGTTGCCATAACGTTAGTGGCTACATCGCCGGTGCTGTTCTTCAGCTCCTCCAGGATGGTCACCTCCTGCATCAGCTGCTTCTTGGACTCGTCATCGTTGCGCACCACCTTCAGTGCCACCATCTTGCCGACTTTGTGGTCGAAACACTTTACCACCTGTACAACAGATCAGTCACGCAGGACCGGCAGAAGCAGTTTGTGATTGGTCCAGCCATACCCTAGCCCTGCATACGTTGTGTATGATATGGAGTCATTGCAGGGTACCCCGGTATACACATGGCCTCCTCAGCAGTAAACAGACGTTGGTGGCCAAGGAGTTGGCCCGGCCATGGCCTGACCAACCGGACCGGTTCCGCCTGGCACGAGATGTAATAGACACTCATAGTATTAGAATACAGATAATTTAGACAGCCACAATTCTGTCATGGCTGAAGATTTTTGACTGGCATTCTTCGCACATCGATCAGCTGGATCACAGCAAGGGAACATAACCAAGAGTGTGCAACTCCTATCTGAGTCAAGCTGCCAAATGGGTTCACCCACGGCGGATTTTATTACACCATTCTTTGGCAGACGTATGATCAAGTGTGTATGCTTTCCCGCGTTTGCCTGCTAGATACGGTGAGAGTTCATTAGGTTCAAGACACATCGATCTATCGTGAGTTGTCCTGCTTCGACTACCACAGCTTGGATGTACAAACTCTTTGTACGTTGATCTCTGGCCGCACATGATGGCATCCTGAGTGAGTCAAATAGCCGCGAAAGACTGCTGTCATAGAATGTTACCGTGGGCTGAGGGATCGTCGAGTTGCACACTCTTAGTTACGTACTCTTGGTTACAGCAATGTAATGGCGTAGATAGGCGTAACATGTTCAAAAATGGCGTAACGGCCAGCCCAGTTTCGGATATGGAGGCTTGTTTACATGTGGACCCCTGGTCTGAATGTGGACCCATATCATAGTCTGGCATAGCTTTGTTAGCTACAGTAAACCACCAGTGACTACCGGCAAGAGTACATGAAAACCAGAGTGTGCAGCTCGGATGGGTTGCTGTCACGGCGAAATTCCGTGATTACATCATTTTAGTGATGTAGTGCGTACAAGCAGGATTCAAGCAGGTCTCTTTCTGCACAACTGCAGCTCAGTTGTACGCACTACGCCATTTCCCGCCTCAGATCTGCACCAAATATGATGTAATCACGGAATTCCGCCGTGACAGACACCCATAGCAGAGAAGGCCCCAAGCTGCACACTCTGCTTTTCATGTAAGTTACTCTTGCTACCGGCCACAGTTGAAAGCCCAGAGTCGTATCCCAATGCTTTTCTTCAGCTCTAACTTACACTGCAACAACAAGAACAATACCAGGGCCCATTGAAGACCATTGCGCGAAATCACGCGACACCTGTGCATTTTCGATCTGCGGGATGAAGATGACGACGTCCATGCATCAGGTATCAGGGGGTAGTAAGATACTGGTATATTACTACTCCACGCCTCAAATCGTGCTGTCAAGCGTATGCGGGGGAGTGTAGCATGCCATCCCTTACACTTTCCAGCTCAGGGTTACCCTCGCTACCAATGGACGAAGTTAGTTTCAGGGTCACAGCTTGCGCAACGGCTTTGTCCTGTTCGAATGGCCATTGGACATACTCAGCACAAATTTTCTATTGCATGCATGCACAAAATGTTCAACTTTCGTATTTTTGGCGACTTTACCACCGTCGTGGAGGCTGGTTGGTGAGGAGCAGGTAGCCATCCCTTGTAGAATCAAACACATGGTTCCACAGTGTGGCTGATTCTGCAAGAGCCAGGTCCATACGAGGAACATTCGCTTTGTCTTTTGCCATCGAAGTAAGTCACTTTCCTTGTTCTCAGTGTTTTTTTTACGTTCAACGTTTCTGAGATTTTTGAATTATTCACTTTTCATTCTTTCATACTTTATTTCTTCATGTTCACTGCCTCACTTGCCTTCTGATCTGGAGAATGTGATGGAGGTGACTGTTGGTTATACGGTTGTCGTGCTGTTGCTGTATTTCCGTCCTGCTCGCGACGTTGTAGATCACAAACAATTTGAAATCACATGAATTGTACTTACCGTCGTGCGTGCGGTATTAGGAAACACTGTGCAGATTGGATCGTCGCAATGTATCTATATGTGTGTCTGGTCATCCTGTGCCACGCAAGAACTCCAACCAGACGCATTCGTCCTCGGCCCTGTTGATCGATTGTCCACTCGTCTTTCCTTGAAGAACGATCTATCAAAAAAAATCGAGCTCGAGGACTTTTTGCAAAAAACGGCTGAAAAAAGGAAGAAAAAAGGGTGTTTAGAATGAGATTCGAGTACACAACCATGGTCCCAGCAGTTTATGTGGATGTCGCTCATAGATGCGCGATTTCGCGCAATGCAAAAAAATGTGTTTTCCCAAACACTGCACCTAGCTGTTGCTGAGGCTGTATCAGCGGCGTCAGGCACGGTACAGTCACTACGGTATTGACCGTACCACTTTTTGACCCAAGAACCTCGTGAATCAATAAAATACACTGATCTGGACTCGAAATTTCCAAAATTTTCGGCTCAGCCACCCCTCCTCCATGAGTAACTTGTACTTCAGATGGCTGACCGTACCACAGTAAAATACCTTCCGACATTGCCCCTGTGTATGATCTACAATCACACGATCCACAGTAGTCAGTAGTCAGTGACAAGCAGGCTGGCACAAGTGAAGACATTCACGGGCATGTCTATAATCAGACAGGCACACAGATACACTATTGGAAAGAAGAGGACTTGGAGAGAGAGAGAGTGAGTGAGAGAGAGAGAGGGAGAGAAAGAGAGAGTGTGTGTGTGCGTGTGTGTGTGTGTGTGTGTGTGTGTGTGCGCGCGCGCGCGCGCGCGACCAGTGCGACAGATGGTTCCGCAGCAAGGGTGGATTTGCCCGACACAAGTGCTCGCCAGCAACATCACCAGCAGAGGCATCTTCTGACACACTTGAGTCACCAGTTACGAACAATATGTCCTGCAAACGCTGCAGCTTCCACTGCGCCCGCTGCAACCGCTGTGTGCTAGCGCGCCAAGGCATGAAGCGTCACAAGTGCAGCCAAGGCTCGGCCAGAGCAACCAACACAGACCGTAGCTCCTTCTGCATCGTTTGCAATTGCGGTCGGCGTTTCAGTAGACCACAGGACATATCCCGTCATCGCCCCTACTGTTCCGAACCTGCTCAACCCCCATGGGGTCCGCATAGCCAGAATATGGCAGCGCGTCCAAGGTCCAAGGTCCAAGGTGTGTGTGCGTGCGTGTGTGTGTGTGTGTGTGTGTGTGTGTGTGTGTGTGTGTGTGTGTGTGAGAGAGAGAGAGAGAGAGAGAGAGAGAGAGAGAGAGAGAGAGAGAGAGAGAGAGAGAGAGAGAGATAGAGAGAGAGAGAGAGAGAGAGAGAGAGAAATGCCAAATTTTGCGCTCATGTTCTCACTTGAACTTTCCGACATTCGCTATCATTGCGTATGCAATGGGCAAGATCAAGGTGAAGGTCAAGGTGTGAGAGAGTGAGTGAGAGTGAGTGAGAGAGTGGAGGAGAGAGCCTGAAGGAGAATGACAGAGAGACAGCGAGACACACACGCAAAAGAGAATTGCTCAGTATGCCTTACTTGACCGAACGCTCCACTTCCCAGGAACCTGATTACCTCATAGCGATAGTTGATGTGATCACGTGGCACAATGCCCAGATAGTGTCCCTCGTAGTCATCATAACCTTTGTTATTTCCATCTCGTGCTGCACTGTACGATGGCCGATACTTGATTGCCATATCCCCGACAAAGTACACCTCGTCGTTCTTCGATGTTCGCAGTTCCTTCCGTTCCAGCGGCTCCAAACGATTTATAAAACGACGCAAGGCGAACTCAGCCCACTTTTCGTAAGCCTCCTTCCGGAACAGCGTGCTCTCCCATTGCGTCTCTCGATGCGGAACGAATCCCTTTCGCACCTCGAGAAGACGTTGAGTTTTCGGTTGAACCGACGCTAGTCTGCTAGGAGCTGGAGTACCACTGCTGGACGGTGTAGAACTCGTTAATATCTCACTTGTCGGCGACGCCGTCTTCTCCGATTCTGTTCTCTTGTTGCCCAACTTGTTGGTAATGTGCTTGTTGCCATCAATCACGGGCTCTTGTGCAGCTGTTCCTGCCGTCGCTGCATTAGAGATAGACAGCTTGGATAGATTGTCAAACGACAGGAGCTGCCTTCTTGCCCATTCTCGCTCGTCCAGCCATGGTGCTACGTCTCCGTTCTCCAGTTTGAAAGGAGTCGATGCCTGGCCATCGCGCTCCTGCTGCCGTGCATACAGGAATTCCCATTCCACCGAGTCTCCGGGTATTTGTGCTGTGAAACCATGCTCTTGTCCCACTTCTCCACCAGGCGGTGCCTTAGACCTATGCTTTGTGGAGCGCCGTGGAGCCTTCCGAATTTCTCTGGCTGGCTTAGCAATGCATGCACCATCACTTTCATGTTCTTTCCTAGGTCGTATCGCTGCATGCTGGGCAGACAAGCCACCGATCGCTCTTCTTTTCCCGGTGTAAGCCACGTCACCAAGATCAGGAGGATGATCGTGTGCACCGCCGACGGCATCACTACTCTGGCGAGAGCGCACAGCAACATCGTGGTTATCGTCGTATTCGTAGTCCTCCTCCTCGCTATCGCTAGTGTAATCGTCTGAGTACAGGGTTGGTCGCTGGTTGACGACATGATTGCGGGCCACTCCGTCCTGTCGACGTTCGCCGTCCATCTCCGGCGTGTGCGAGTAATAGTTCGAGTACACAATCTTCCAAAGATCTACTGCCTGGAGTGCTGGTCAGCAAGCACACAGACAGCACACGTGAAGCAGGACTAGACTTGTAGAGGGGGATCGCACGCTCACAGGCAGAAAGCAAAATGCAAAAACGCTAACTACAACAGCTACTGGACTACGCGCAACACAACATGGGAAAGAGAGACCAGAGAAGTGACGGAGGATCTAGGAGTAGAGAGACAGACGTGACATAATCATGCATTGGTTGTCGTCGACAGGGCAGTTTCCCCGGGTGGTCTCAACAAAAACCTGCGCGCGAAGCACTCGTAGAGTCGTACATAGTCTATCAATACTATCATAGACAAAATCATAATAAACGGTAAAATGTTTTCTACGACCGTCTCCTAGATCCTCCCGGTCCATGCATGTAGATCTACATTTTAGTTTTTACATCATTGTAATCATACATGCAGTACAGTGAGTCTTCAGTAATGCCGCCTCCTGATCCTGCCGTCCCCTGTACTGCCTACTGTCTGTGGTTGTGGGAAGGAGTTGTTGATAATGCGTGTGCATGTAACTCGTTCCAAGAGCATCCGCTTGCTCGCATCACCATGATCACCGCCATCAGTACTTCACCAACTAACTAATTACTTGCCCAGGCCAGGGCAAGAGTAATAAGATAGGGAGTTTCATCATGTTCATGGGCTACCTCAAAACCTCTGCTCACGACATTGCCATTGGTCATCAGCGCTATTATAAACCTAGATCAGGTCCACTATCATGACTATCGATCATGGATAAAATTTATCCATGATCGATAGTGGACCTCACATTTTGTCCTTCCTTTTTAAAATGCTTTATATATATAATAGGAAGGACATCCGTGTTCTAAAAAAAAGGACCAAATGTTACGAGTTATGACAAGAGCAATACCGCAAAGCCCAGTATACTCCTGCGACCAACTGTCCACCAATGTAACCAGATAGCAGTCAGCAAGTCACTATACTCTTGCGACCAACTGTCCACCAATGACATTATGTAACCAGATAGCAGTCAGCAAGCACTATACTCTTGCGACCAACTGTCCACCAATGTAACCAGATAGCAGTCAGCAAGTCACTATACTCTTGAGTCTTGCGAACAACTGTCCACCAAAATGTAACCAGATAGTAGTCAGCAAGTCACTATACTCTTGCGACCAACTGTCCACCAATGTAACCAGATAGCAGTCAGCAAGTCAGCTTCCTTTTTTATCCATGATAATATTGGCTCAACATTCGAGTTCAAGTTATGATCCTCTGTTATTTTAGCTATCCACATTGTCATTCCTATCACTTCAAGTATTTTCAATCTTATCATGCATGTGTGTGCGTGTGTGTGTGTGTGTGTGTGTCGCTTCAAACAGCTGTGTGGTGGATACCATGCTAAAAATAGTGGCGGTCAATTCATCAGCCTTGCAAGCTGTTGAATGGTGTAATCCCAGCACAAGTTGCTGTTCGCTATCATCCTTCCGCGATGGGCATGTCTGAGGTGTGTGTGTGTGTGTCTGCGGCCGCGACTTTCGCCGTCCGAATGATGTATCCCGACACAAGAACTACTGCCTGGCCAGCTATCATCGCCTTTGGCGATGGGCTTTCCAAAGTTCCAAAGGTGTGTGTGCACTCCTATGCACTCAGCAAAAATGACCTCGGTGTTGACTGGGCGGGTTCGTGTCAACACCGAGGTCATTTTCGCTGAGCGCATGGGAGTGTGCACAAGCACACATACACGCGCACGTGCACACACACCAGCAAAACGCCGGCGGGTTACAAAAGAACACATGTTACACGCCGCACAAACGCACACAGTACCAACAACAACAAAGAGCAGTGAATGAAAGCCGATAATTTCGAAATTTGTAACAGAAAACCAAACATCAACAAGCAGAGAAGATACCGAAGGGTAAAAAGTAGTAAGAAATTGTCCAGCACCAGATGGAGCACAGTTCGTCAATAGGATAAAGACAGGGAATGAGCAACACTGCCAACAACAAAATCAACAGAGGAACAAGGCAGCAGCAGCAGCAGCAGCAACAACCTGCGAGTAATGGAATGTTACATACTTGACAAATAAAATAGAAACAGCAGAAGCAGCATTGCATGCTGGCAAAAATAAAATAAAATAGCAAAATATACACATAGGTATGTACAAGAAAAGCATGACACCGAGCAACAGGGAAAAGGAGAGAGAGAGAGATACGTATTCACACTGCGGCCGTACTGTTGTTTCAGGCCACACGCCGACTAACTGCCACGTGCCACTATGCGTGCAGTACGAGACTGCAATGGCAGACACGGCCAGTAGCAAACAAGTACAGTATACAGATGCTGGACAAGTCACCACATACACACACACACACACACACACACACACACACACACACACACACACACACACACACACACACACACACACACACACACACAACATTGTACACACTTACTATATAGATATACACACACACACAGCATAAGCACGGGACACAGCGATGAGGACACACGTCACGGAGATCAGGGTGACCAAGCCACCCCACTGTACACACGCACGCTTGCACGCACACACCCACACACTGGTTAATCGGTCAGCAGAAAGAGAACGAGAAGAATAGATAAGACTATAAACCGTGGTGGCAAAGTACAATGGGCACAGAGTGCATGTTAACTGGATCTAGGCAATGACTATGGTATTATATACACCTACGCTATGCTGGTCATGACAACAGTGGCCATTGTCAGAATAAATAAAACAAGGTGCTGCAGCGGCAGCAACAGCAGTGACAACACGTCAGGAAACGTGCACGATGACAGAAGCTGTGCACGTTCACGGAGGCTGTGCAGGAAAAGACACCAGGCAACAGTTGCCTTTTCGGCAGGAAGAGCTGTGCTGTGCGGATTGCAGGTCCGCCGGCGATGCTGCACTGACTGCTCCGCACTGCTGGTGCCGTCCCGGAGTCACTGCGCTGTGCTGTGGCGGTGGTGGTGCAGGTAAGTGCTAAGGAATAGTGTTAACACACCGGCACACACACACACACATACACAGGCACACAGGGTACTACGCCCTGCAGTGCCAGTGGTGGACGACGACGACGACAGGCAGCAGCTGGACATCATGTGAACAGCTACATACACACAGCAGCTGTGGCCGTGGTAGCGACGAGACTGAACCTAACCGCTGCTGGCTGTGACAATGACGTAGCTTCCACACGTAGCCAATACGATGCTAAGGAGCAACAGATACGATGCCCCGGAGCAAAACATCAGCTGCTTAGGGAGCAACAAGCGCAACACCGTCAGCAGATCAGTGGAGGGGCACTGGGGAATGCGTGCTGGCGAGAATACACCCAGCGGTGGCTGAGTCCTGATGGAGATGAACAGGATAGCAACAGCAGGCAGCTGCGGACCAGGGCCAATGGGTGGACGGGCGAGTGGCTACGCAATCCTCTTCACTTGCTTCACAACTTGACAGAATCCTTGGGTAAGCTCTGGTTGATGATATGAAGATAGCGAATGTCACCCAGGAACCGCTTGAGATTGTTGATGAAAGACGGCTGATCCTGTATGCCACACGGAAATCAGACAGAGAGAGAGAGAGAGAGAGAGAGAGAGAGAGAGAGAGAGAGAGAGAGAGAGAGAGAGAGAGAGAGAGAGGATAAAGAAAAGAAAGAAAGTGGTCCAGGCACTGAACATAAATTCCATGCATTGATTGTTATCACTTAGTGGCAAAGCAGGCTCCCTTCAATTACAGTATACGGTGTGCTATGATGGAGTTGGTCAGACGGCGGTCTGCATACTGACATGGTGCACACTGGCAGTGTACACTAGGCATACAGGCAGGCAGAAAGTCAGTGTACCTTCCCAGCATGCATACAGGACTGTACACAATGTCATTCAAGTATCCATGCCTGCGCCCAGATCCAGAAAGTACACCACCACCACCACCAGGATGATCACCACCACCACCACCACCACCACAGTCACAAAGGCAAAAAAAGAGACTTGTCTGACGAGTGCCTCTAAACATTAATCCAGAGTTACATACGAAAAACGGCACCAGTCTCCATTGCTGTGCTCCGTTTGTGGTAGTGTAAGTCAACAAATTTTGGCCAGTGAGAAACTTTGGCCGATCTCGAAATGAAACATGTGGCCGTCATTAAACTTTGACCGGTTGGGGTTTTCAAAAAAGAAATCGATCTATAGCAACTACTGTTGTTTCTCTCACGTGCAGCTATGACTAAATCATGCATCATTTGTCTCTATGCCATACTTTGGCCTGCGGTTTACTTAGCCAGTTGGTACCTAGCGGCGAAATCAGCGAAATTAAATCGCCAGCGAAAATTAGTTGATTTACAGCACACACTTTGCCCTAGCTAAGGTACAGATCACTCTATGCAGTAAGGACCTTACACAGACACAGACACACACTCTCTCAATCCCTCCCCCTCTCTCTCTTTATAAATGTAACTTTCTCTCTCTCTCTCTCCCTCCCTCCCTCCCTCTCTCTCTCACTCACTCTCACTCTCTCTCCCTCCCTCTGACATGATCATAGCCTACCTGGTCACGCTGAAAGTTGTCGGCCAAGATTTGCTTTTGCGAGTCCTGCAATTCACTGGCTGAAATCAGGAACTGAGGCAAGAGCTGCGAGAAGAAGAGAGTGAAATCTGTCCTGGCCATGTGATAGATAGCCAGTTGGATCTCCTCGGCTAACAGGTCATGTGACTTGTGAATCAGTACTTGCAGCAAGACATTGATGAACTGAGTCAGCATCATCTGTCTGAACAGTTCCTGAAAGGAGAACAACAAAGAGGTAGAAAAGCAACAGCAGCAAAAGAAATGACTCCAACATTGCCCATAATGTCTTCGTAAGGAAAAGAAAAGACAGAAAGGATGCGCACAGTACTAGTAGTTGCCGGACACAAGCATCCCTTTCAACCCATCAACTAACCATAATTATGTACTTGAATTAGCCATTCGCGGTCGACAGAGATGTACCGTATTCTCAGGAGTATACGTTGCACCCCCCCCCCCCATTTTTTGCCATGAAATACAGACATCTATCCAATTTATCACCGTCAATTTGATCATCAAAGTATAAGTCGCACTTCTGGGGTGAATTTTGAGTGCTCAAAGTGCGGCCTATACTCGGAAAAAACCCAGTACGCATTCAAACATTTGCAACTCACTCAACTCTTTACATCTCTCACGTGTAGATATCTATCACCAATAACAGGATGGTTACAGCACAGTTTGTTCTCTTGGTTGCGACATTGAAAATTTCCTTTAAGTTTCCAAAATTTGTTCATAAACCAAGCAGAGCATACACAAGGAATTTCTTACCTTGTCGTAAAGTTTACACTTTTCGTTCAGATCTTCCATTGTTTGCAAGTTCTTCTTGAAGATGTTAATGTCCGGTTGCAGGAACGAGTGGCCAAATGCCTGATACACAAGTAGATGTAAACGTACATGAAGAGAGAGAGAGAGAGAGAGAGAGAGAGAGAGAGAGAGAGTGAGAGAGAGAGAGAGAGAGAGTGAGAGAGAGAGTGAGAGAGAGTGGAGTCGGTGATTGTCGCAAAGACATGCTAAGACATGCTGTCACGCTGTTCTTGTGACATCATGGGTATATGGTTGAGGTGAAAGGACTGAGTCAATAAGTCGACTGGTCAGACGAAAAGGTCGAGTCGATAGAAGGAAAACCCCTATCGACCCGCATTATGTTTAAAACATAGTTAAAATACATATATAAATGCCCAGAAGTTGATGCAGTTCATGCACTTGTCTTGTGAGTTCAGGCCATGTACTGTGAAGTACACTTGGGGCCTGAATCCATGTCGCTTTCAAACACACAGCCGAGTACAAGAACGGTGCGAACACATTCCGCATGGGTCTGTTTGAACGTTGAAACCTACAATGTGCTCATAGTGTGCTTCTGCTTGCTTGTGCATGGGTGTGTGACCATGCATGTGTTAGTGTACTGTGCTTGTGTTCATGTGTGAGGGCAATGTCAGTCGATAACAAGTCGATAGTCAGTCGACAGGATTGAATCTAGACGATAAGGAATTTGGGTCAGTCGTTTCACCCCTAGTATATGGCAAGCCAGTGCGGTGAAGGACTGCAAGAGCACACCGCTTATTGAGTTACAGCTACGGAAAGGGAATAGTCTGACCAAGTGCAAGGTCACACGGTGAAAGAACCCGAGTGCACAAGGGACACACATTACCCATTGCCAGCAATCACTACTAGTATTCTTGTGTGGAGCTAACTTTCGCTAGAAGGCAAAGTGAATACAGATTGTCTGCACAACACGTATTCTTTGTACCATGTAAATGATGCATGATCTCCAGACAAGACTCGCTCATCCATCCCACCATTAACACACGACCAGAAAGAGACTACTAGTATGGCGGTGAGGAACTCTCGCAGAACACAAAAGTACTTTTGATGATGTCTTTACAAACATCTCCAGTAAAGTCAGTGCACAACACCATTGCTGAGGCCGCTATGGACAAGCTCAACAGAGTGTACAACCTGCAACATACTCTACTCCACCCGGGAGAACGTAGCAGCAGCAGCAGCAGCAGCATTATCGATATCACTGGTTTGTGCGTTCAATCAAACACATTTCAGTAGCAGCAGCAGCAGCAGCAGCTCACCTGCATGATGGCAATGAACTGTTCCTGGTGTTCACTGGGTTCAGATTCAGCACTAGCAGTACCACCCACACCACCCACACCACCAGCACTACCAGCACGTACTCGAGCAAGCAGATTGGACGGGAAAAAGAATCTGTTACAACAACAACAACACCACCACCACCAACACAGAGCGTGGTTTAGGGATTTTGAATTGAAAGAATTGGGGAATATACAGTAGACAGATCGGAACGAAAATCCGGGGAACAATACATTGTCTCAAAGAGTTTCGGGCCCGCAAGCAATCATCAGGCGATTCCTCATGATCGCTTGCGAGCATGAAACTGAGACAATTTTTATACCACCGGACTTTTGCTTGCATTGAACATCTGAATTCCGTGTGCATTGAGCACTTTGACCGGTAGACAAGGTTCTTCTGTAGTAAGATAGGCGTAGGTAGTAGAGAAAATGAAGACATGGAGTTCCATAACATGCACATTCTATGCATTGAACTTGTGCTTCATATAACAACGAGTACAAGCCATATAACTATAAGAATGAGCTAGGTGGATATCTGTGGACACTGGGTCTGCAGTCAAAGACAGTATGTGAACAGAGAGAGAGAGAGATAGAGAGGGAGAGAGATAGAGAGAGATAGAGAGATAGACAGAGAGAGATAGATAGAGAGAGATAGAAAGAAAGATAGATAGAGAGAGAGAGCACAGAGCAGTGAAGAATGCACATACCTCCAGTGGCACAGTAAGACATCTCTCAAGACATCAAACAACACTGTCTTCACGTCAGGATCCGGTCTCTGTATTGCATACCCATGTAGCAGTGCATATGAATACGAACACACACACACACACATACATACACACACACAAACACACACACACATACACACCATACCATAAAAGAGTAAGTTGCCTGCAACAGTGGACAGTCTAGTGTTTGTTCAGCTAGTGCTGTTGACCAATGCCCACTGTTACATGACTCACAAGGCTAAATCTCATCATCTGCAGCAGCACTGTACCTCGAACTACTCTTCACCAAATCATGAGCTGCCACACAAGAACCTCCAGCAAGATAAAGACAAACACACATACACCGTACCGTACCTCAGCTACTAATGGGTAGATCTGCTCCATGCAGAACGAGATGATGGTCGGTAAGAAGGACTTGAACGATGAGCTGGTTTCTTGGGTAAGCAGCTGCAATATCGTCAAAAACCTACAAGAAAGAGAGAAAGGGAGGGAGAACGAGAGAAAGGGAGAGAGCGAGATGTCACTAGTAACACCACTACCTCTGTTGTTTCGCAACAAGCTGGAGGTCGGCAACTTCTTTGGACCGCCTTCGTATCCAGTTCTTTTCAATACTAAAAAGCTTTCATGAAATGTTGGTTCAGCTCGTTCTCTTGGTCGCAGTTCTAAAATTATTGTCGACTCGCCACCACTATCCAATTTGAACAAACTTGTGCTATAATCCACATAACAATAGGCAACAAAACAGTGTGATGCAGGTGCATCGAAAATGCCATCATGCCATTGAAAATAAGCAAATCCAAATTATACACGAGGCAGAGATTCATTGGAAGCAGAGCATCTGCAATACACTTACTTTTCTATCACTTCACAACCTTGCCGATGAGACGTTCTCAGCGTTGTTTGCAACACATCACTAACATACGCAAATGCATTCGCGCACAAACGTGAGCACACACATGCGAGCGCATGAACATGTACACACACACACACACACACACACACACACACGTGCATAATCAGACCCATGAAAGCAGTCAAAGAGCAGTAATAGGAGGGCTTAGACACTCCTTGGTGAATGAGAAGACTGGGTTTTACAACAGGTATGGTGAACCTCGCCTGAAAAGTGCTTTCGGCAATGATAAATTAGGCACACTTGACTAATTCACATGAAGTGATACAGTAACCGGGACGGCAAAAAGAAGAGTGTGTATGTGTATGTGTGTGTATGTGTGTGTGTGTGTGTGTGTGTGTGTGTGTGTGTATGTGTGCGTGTGTGTATGTGTGTGTGTGTATATGTGTGTGTGTGTGTGTATGTGTGTGTGTGTGTGTGTGTGTGTGTGTGTGTGCGTGTGTCGTAGCGTCGTATGGTGTTCGCTGTTCTCGCTGCAACCGTCAGTTCCGTCGACAGAGTGACCTGAGTCGTCATCTCCGTTTCTGCTCCTGACAATGACTCTGGCTCCTTTCGAAGTGGTGTGGCCCTTGTGGCAACCAAGCTACAGTAGTAGTAGTAGTGTGTGTGTGTGTGTGTGTGTGTGTGTGTGTGTGTGTGTGTGTGTGTGTGTGTGTGAGTGTGTGTGTGTGCGTGAGAGAGAGAGAGAGAGTGTGTGCGTGAGTGAGCGAGAGAGAGAGAGTGAGTGAGAGAGTGAGTGAGAGAGAGAGACCAAGCGCTAAAGTTACTGTAGTACATACTTGCTGAAGAGGGACATGATCGTTTCTGAAGTTCGCTGTGCAAATGAACTGCCAACTTGAACCTTGAGGGAAGCAAACAGAGCTCGGAAGAACGCCAGCAGATCTGATGCAACGTCTGCAAGCACACAGCAGAGAAGAGAGAAAGAGCAACTGTAAAAAAGAAGTAAAGTTTGCACATCCGCGTAACCACTGGCTTACAATTGTGCTGAGAAACACAACCAGCTTAGAGCAGCTATTAGGCCAGCTTGTATAGATAATGGTTTTACCAGCCACTCTCTTCAAATTCTGGAAGAGGCAAACGTTTGACTTGGCCAATCTATTCCTATGCACATTCCTGCCTTTCATTCTCCCATATTTAATCACCAGCACCCAGCACCACAAACGCAACCACGAGTACCACCAGCACCACCACCAGCAGAGGCCAACAGCCCTAAGGCAGTCCAAGCAGCAGAGAGCAAGAGAAGTTGCCAACTAGAATAGATACTGTTTGTAACTCGGACATGCATTCAAGTCACGCTCATACATTGGTGTAGGATACATCTGAAATACGGGAAACCCGCACACTGCATCATAAAACTGGTATCAGCCTGAAATTCAGCCGGAACGGCACCAATAGTGGAGTTGCACACTCTGACGGGTTTCTGTACTCTTGATGTAATTGATAGTGCAAACTCACCAGCCTCTTGGATGAAGATAGGAAAGAGATTGAGCGATGTCTCAATGGCCTCCATCAGTGCTTGATGTAACAAGACCTTGCAGCGAGTTTGTTCATTCTCCACACTTTCCGTCAAGCGACGCAGAATTGTCAGTGTACACTTGATGACTGGCTTCACTGTGCGTCAACATCACACCAGTACACACCAGCATACACACCAGTAAACACAAACACACACACAGACACAGACACACACACACACACAAACGCGCATGCACACACACACACAGACGCGCACAGACACGCACACACAGACACACACACACACCAGCACCAAAGCAGAATAAAATACACAAGTTAGCTGAGATCAGGTTTCATAGCACAAGACAATCAATAGTTACAATGCAGAGTGTGGGGACTTGTAAATTTAATATGCTCTGTTTAATTGTAATCCCCCCTTTGCAAAGCTATTTGCTCCCACTCCAGAGCATGAACGCACATGAACCCCAATCAATCTCATGACCAGGCTTACTACATGTTACATGATGTACCATGTCTTCCAGAGCATAAGCTGCACCCAGATTTTCGTCACGATACACACATCTACCCTGTATAATTATCACCGTTCATTTGACCATCATAATATAAGCCACGCTGACTTTCTTGGGGTGAATCATGCGTGTTTAAAGTGCACCTTATACTCTGGAAAATACGGTATGTACCAGCATTGTCCAACACATACACATATCAGCATTTCCTCCGCGTCTCAGATAGTAGTAAGGAAATACAAGTGTCAGGTTGCTTATCACTGAGTGCATGTACAGTGTACAGTCGTGACCTAATAAATCCGATCCGCCAGTCAAAAGTAAGACAATTATTACATCATGCCCGTTCCCAACACTGATCCGAGGGCCGCATAAGCATTGGCGCTGCTTTCGGCACATAGGGTGGATTTCTTTGGACACAACTGTACAAACTATACATGCTATACATACCTCTGCTCTGCATATTCTTGTCCTCGGCCAGCCCAGCCTGACGACAAAGCTGATGGAACGACTGCGTTATGCCATTCACTAACTTGCGCAACTCTTCACTACGCGCTGGCCATTGCTGTGGTACAGCAGTAACAACAACAACAACAACAACAACAACAACAACAACAACAAACATGTTTTAGATGGATGTGTGGCGGCTCTTTTATCTGAACCCCTCGAGACAGCCCCGCTCACCGAGAGGTGCTGATAATCAGCACTAAACTGTACATGCAATCACGCAATACCAGACACCCGCGTCGTACAGTAAATAGACCAACACCTAGCAAAACGCAATGGAGGAGTTCAGCACATGCAGCAGCATCCATGAAAGTGCCATGATGGCAATCGCAGCAACAGCAACAGCAAAAGCAGTACAGTCGCATGTAGCTTATCTGGCAGTCAGTCACCCGGCACGTCACTTATCCAACAGCGCACTGACAGCCCGTACACTGTATACATGTATTTATGGTCCTACTTCAAGTAAATATGGACAGTGAGCATCATGAGCGTTGCCGTTATGCAACCTTACATACGAGTCAGTCTATATGGATGTGCACAGCGACTGTCTCACGATCATAACAGTAATAGAGCATCAAAAATACAGGTAGAACCATGTGTACAGTCCTTTTGATGCGCGAACACATATGTACCGGCTTCGGTCATCTGGACAATTCATATATCCAACCGTGACCGGTGCCGAGGGTGCTAGAAAACTGCCACACAACAGCAGTCTGACTCACCTGATCAGCCTCCGCAAATCCCGGCCAGGGTAGAAGCAATGCACTAGCTAATGCATGGTACACTAACAAGTAGACCTGCATGGCGAAGAAACACACAATTGAAAACCAACACCATTGGACGCCCATCGCCGGAGGCGATGCTAGCGATGCTACAGCAGAAGCCATAGCAACTTGTGCTGGGATTGCACCATTCAACAGCTTGCAAGGCTGAAGAATTGACCGCCACTATTCAGCCTGGTCTACACCACACAGCTATGAAGTGGCTTTTTTCTGGCCAGTGAATCCCTACTTTTTGGTCTTTTTATTTTTTTCCCGCACACACATCACACCACATACTCCGGCATGCACTGGCTGTTGGTAACCACCCAGGAGAATGAAAGAAAAGTCAGGAAGAGTCTGAGAAAGAGAAGAAAGACGCGTGTGACCACAATCGTCGGGAATCGAACCCGCAACCTATCGATTGGAAATCGCTGCACATACCACTGCACCATATGGGACACACAAACACACACAAACACACACAAACACACACACACACACACACACACACACACACACAAGTCGTGTTGGAAAAGGGATTGTGTGTGTTCTCTGTTTGCTCTTTACTGCCTCTCTGCATTGCGTGCTGTGTACGAGATGTTGTACATGGCCATGCTCCTTCTCCACAAATGAAACTCAACTCTTCTCCAGCTTTACTTTGTGAAGCGAGCACAAGAAATTTTCAACAGTTTTATCACACGACTTGCGGCGTGCAACACGTGCATTCGGCATAGTGCACTAGATGGGTACAGAACCGAGTTGGGTACATGCACACAGAGCCCTCCGGTGATGTAATGGAAACTGACCTGGGGGCGCCAGCTTTGAACTTCGGGACGGATTTTACCGAGTGCAATTGTACATGTACAGCAGGGAGTCGTACTCAAACTAGGGAGGTGACACGGCACAGAAATCCGTGTCACAGGGGTTGACTCGCACCCGTGACCCCTCGTTGTTATTTTTGGAATAGTTCAGTCCAGTCCAGTCCGAAAGGTCATACTCGGATCGACTCGCCTTCTGTACTTCACCTCCAAGCGTGCAACGCAAGACCCGCAAAGTATGATTTTTCTGTGGGGAATGATTTTGCCATTGATCAAGTTTTTATAGGAGTGCTCAAGCATACTACGATTGCTGAGACGTCCCGAGCACGCTTGTTCAGGTTCTCTATTTTTGACGAGCCGGTCCTACAGCCCCCTACATTGTATCTAACGACGTAGGAGCTGACAATGTAAGAGGATTTCCCTGGAAATAATGATGATGGTGGTGTGACTGCTGCAGGAAAAATGCTGGCTGTTTATGACGGTATGACTAGATGTACAATGTAGCTCTCTTGTATGGTACTTAACCCTGCTATAAATGTGTTGTTTAGGAAGATTGGTGTATTGTGCAAGTCATAAAGAAGAAATGGGGCAGATACACGACTTACAATTTTCAAAAACCAACTTCGTGTTATGTCTAATTTGTGTCCAAATTGTAATATTTAGACATGACAATATCATTGGCTGTACTTCTCTAATATGGTACATAACCCCTGCTATAAATGTGTTATTTAGGCAGACTGGGCCATTGTGCAAGTCTTAAAGAAGAAATGGGGCAGATATACGACTTACATCTTTCGAAACCTGGCTTCGTGTTATGTGTAATTTGTGTCAAAATTGTAGTATTTCAACATGACAATATCACTGGCTGTACTTCTCTTATATGGTACTTAACCCCTGTTAGAAATGTGTTGTTTAGGAAGACTGGTGTATTGTGCAAGTCATAAAGAAGAAATGGGGCAGATACACGACTTACAATTTTCAAAAACCAGCTTCGTGTTATGTGCAATTTGGGTCAATTTTTAGTATTCGGATTAACCTAGGATACGACTCTGAACAGTTCTGAACAGTTACCGCAACACTACACGCTGTCTCATAACTGCTGCTGTTGCCATCACTGCTATCAAGTAGTTCGGACATGGCAGGAGGTAAACAAATTGCTGGTAGTCTTTCAAAGAATACTGGCGAGTGATGGGCTGTAAACGAAATGTGCTGCCTCAATAATTTCAAAAACTAGACACCCATGCGGCACGCTTGGAGGTGAAGTACAGAAGGCGAGTCGATCCGAGTATGACCTTTCGGACTGGACTGGACTGAACTATTCCAAAAATAACAACATGGGGTCACGGGTGCGAGTCAACCCCTGTGACACGGATTTCTGTGCCGTGTCACCTCCCTAGTTTGAGTACGACTCCCTGATGTACACTGATGGCAGCGTGGATAAGCAAGGTGCATTGAAAAACATAAGTGCACATACATTTACGCGCGCACACACACACACACACACACACACACTCCAGTGCCAGCAATCCTATTCAACATACCTTCTCAGGCAGCTGCTGCAAGTGGCCCTGTGACGCAGCTGATGCCAGCTGTTGAAATGACGATAATGAGAAAAGAAACTGCGGTCTAACGGTGGACGATACGGACAGCAGCAGGTGTGCAGAGCACAGCTGTACACTCTCCGGTACCTATACAAGATATACACACATGACAGGGAGAAGAACAGTACTAAATATCCGGTACATTATACAATATACACATGGCAGAGGGAACAGTACTCTCCGCTGCCTATACAACATACACACATGACAGGGAGAAGGAGAGTGCAGGAAACGTACTGAGTGCGTTTGACTATGTCCGCGCACCAATGTTGAATCCATTGATGAATCGCTCCAGGCTATTCACATCACCCCATGTGAATACCGGGTAAGGGTGAATGGATTCTGAACCAATTCCAGGGCTCATGACATGAGATCGAACGGCGAGATTCCATTCATGAATCGATTCACGGCAGTAATTGAACGCACCCACTGGAAGTACGTACAGTGGAGATCGCATGATAAGCAGCACTTTGTCACACCACACAAAGCACGCAATTACAATGTTACTCACATATTAATGTACTGCAGGTTCTGGGGTCAAGGCTGCAAGTTACCGGATCAAAGGCGCAGGTTCTGGGGTCAAGGCCAAAGGTTGCTAGGTCAAAGGCGCAGGTTCCGGGGTCAAAGGCGCAGATTCCGAAGCCAAAACCCCTTGTTCCGGGGTCAAAGGCGCAGTTCGGGGTCAAAGCCACATTTTACGGGGTCAAGGCTGCAGGTTACGGGATCAAACTGCAGGCTACAGGGTCAAAGCCGCAGGAGCCGCAGGTTACGGGGTCAAAGCCGCACTTTTTTTTCTCAGAAGTCCAGGCTGTCTCATTTTCATACGAAACGAATACAAACTGAATGTGACATTTGGTCGAGAGAGAGAGAGAGAGAGAGAGAGAGAGAGAGAGAGAGAGAGAGAGAGAGAGAGAGAGAGAGAGAGAGAGAGAGAGAGACACACACACACACGGCGTATCATATACGCCAATGTGGATATGACACAAGGAAATACGGTAGTTGAACTAGAAGCTAGAGCAGCTGAGAGGCCAGAACAAGTAAGCAGTAGGAAAGGAGCAAGACTTACCGAGCTTTCAAAGAATGCAGCAGAGATCTCGGTCATGGTGGATACCAGGGCAACAAGTTTGTCCAATGCTTCTTGGTTGTGCTGCGCTTCCAAGTTGAGTTGATGCAGCCAGTGACAGTAGGCACGTAATGCCCCTAGCAGCTCACCTTGACTGTCATAACAACACACACAAACACACACATAGGCAGGCAGACACACAGACAGGCACACAGACAGACACACCACACACACACCACATAGACATGGATGCACCAACACACACACACACAAGCAAGCTGAAGCAATGGTTGAGCTGTGGCGTATAGAGCTGGGGAAAGCTACGCAAGTGACCCGCATACCATGTACTGTAAAAGTCATATATATATAACAAAGTGCTAACTCTAACGAGTTAACGAGGAGAAATCTGTCGTTAAAATTGAAATCGTTATACAGAAATCGATACATATACTGTCCTATTGAGCGTTGAGAATGAGTGAAAATCGTTACCTTTGGTACACGTAAACTAGTCAATTTTGGGAAATCGTTATATACTAGTATGCGCCTCGTTAGAATAATGGCTTTTACAGTATAGTACTACAAGTAAATACAGCACTGCCAACAGACCAACATACGCAACAACTATGAAGTCCAGCAGCAGATTCCTCCACTTACACCGAATGAAGTGCCTTGGTGAATTCCACGCTACCTTCTGATGATTGCAGGAGATACAGTTTCTCTTGGGCTGTTATTAATGCCAAGTGCAACAGTCTGCAAGCCAATCACAGGACACACAGCATAAACACCAATAAGTTGAAACAATACATGGACACACACACAAAGAAAAGCACATCCAGTTCGGCAAACGCACAGACAGAATGACAGCATCAAACAACAGCATATATGTGTGGTTGGAAGCACGACGGACTTTTCCTTTTTGCGTCATTTTGGCAGAAGTACAACCAAGTGCGCAGGCTGTCAGCCCTGGTCTTGTAGATCGACTGTCAGCTCATCAGGCTCAGGACACATGGATCTAACGTTTGTTGTTCTACTTGACTACTGCAGTTGTGATGTACAAGTTATTTCTACTTTGACTGGCTATGCACGATGGCATCAGAGAGCCAAATGGCCATGAAGCACTGAGGTCATAAAGAAACTCCACCAGGGCCTAGGAGATCGTGGTGGAGTTGCACACTGTCAAATATGTACTCTTGATGCAGGTGATACACTGTCAAATATGTACTCTTGATGCAGGTGATACACTGTCAAATATGTACTCTTGATGCAGGTGATGGGAACATCTGAACAGCATACTGTAAAACGGCTAATTTTAGCGCCAGGAGTGTTTTCGCTAAAGTGTTGTCGTGCCAATAGAAATTTTGCAAGTACAATTGTAGTCTCTTTTTTTCTTCTAAAACTAGGATCGTTAAAATATTTCATTGTGAACTGGTCCTGATTCAGAAAACGCAAAAAAAGTTATCCGCTAAAATTATCCGTTCTACAGTAGTGGAGTGTGTGTTGTGGTACATACCTCTCCAGAACAGCTTGTCCGTCGTTGAGAGTGCTGAGAAAGTACTGGCCAGTGTAATGCTCAGCGAGATTGCCCATAGCCGTCAGTAACGTACTCAAGTCACGCAACATGTACACCATGTTAGGTGAGTCACGTACAACTACAATATCTGATCCTAAATACAACAAAAGCAGCAGCAATAACAACAACCATTTTATCGGCGATCGTGCCATCGTGAGAATAAAAATTCAATTCAAAAACTCATCATGAGAATAAAGATTTGAACAACAGCAACAGCAACAACAAACAACAACAGCAACAACATCTTGTAGTGGCCATTGGCCATCGTGGGAATAAAGATTCGAAACAACAGCAGCATCAGCAACACCAACAACACCAATGTGAGAATAAAGAATTGCAACGGTAGCAAAGACAACCAGAACACAAACAAAACATGTGCAACAATGCCGAGACCGTCAAATGCCAAAAGCAAGAGCAGCAGGAGGAGCAGTAGTAGTAACCAAAACAGCCGTGTCACGGTGTGCAACGAACAGGAGACAGGAGACAGGACTACTACTCACTGATAGGCGAGGAGGAGATCGCAAAACTGCGTTTGACTTGCAGATACGTATCTGATAGCTCTACACAGACAGGCCACTGGTGGAGCCGAGGAATGAGAGCACAAAGAGAGAAAAAAAACGTTTGGAAATTTGTATAAATGGATCTAGTCTACTCGCAATAAGTCGCACAATTTTTTGCAATCTGGAAGGCATGAATGTTCGCATACGTGTACGTTACACTAAAGGGGCCATCCGCAAATATAGATATTTATTTAGAAACGAAACTAGTCGTTTAGTCGTTCGTTTGTTCGAGAGAGAGAGAGAGAGAGAGAGAGAGAGAGATGAACAGCAGCCACAAAACACTGTTTATCACTTACCAATCGCTGGAAGACGGGAGAAGTAAAGAGATGGGAAACCTTGGACATGACATCCAGCGATGTCGTTAGGAAGATCTGCCAATCACTCATCTCCTGGAAACAGCAGCAGCAGCAGCAGCAGAAACTTTCTTATTAGTCCTGAGAACACAATTTTCAAATGCCAACTCGCATGAATACTGTGTACTAAGACCGGTCAATATTCACATTGCACAGCACAAGTGGATCACACAGAACTACAGTCGTGGCCAAAGAAATCCGACCCGCCAGTCAAAAGTAGCACCGCGATTCTATTTCAATCACATCATGCATGTTCCAAAAACTAATTTGTTTACATGAGAGGTTTCAACCCGGGTCAGATTTCAACCCGCCATGTACACAAAATGAATGGCGCGTTTACATGACGCATTGCGCTTGACCCGGGTTGAAGTACTAACGTACTTCTGTGCGTATCTCGCACCAGGTTTGAACAGCACTGCACATGCAAATTTCGCGCGAATGGATTCACGTGACCATACAGGACTTTAGAAGTGGACTTTTGGCGGCAGATCAGTATTTTACAGAACGTGGGTTGGATTTCTTTGGCCAAGACTGTGTACATTGGGGGAACAAGAATGACAATGATATGGCTATCAGCACTGGCAGTAACGACGCTGCCGCAGTCACCAACACCGACTATAACTGTTAGCAAGCGTACAGTGTACATAACCCCCCTGCGACGGCAGAACTTCACATCACGTGACAAACCTGTACCCATTATTTGCACCCTGTGCATGATAGATACAGGGTTGCGTGCTCCGGGTTCAACTCTTTTGTGGTCACTTTGCACTGTTTGCCAGCGTAACCTATTGAACCATGTCACGTGATATGAAGTTCTGGCGTCGCAGCAGCAGCAGCACACTAGTGGTAACACACAACTCACCTCTCCATCGGCTTCTGTGTCTAAGTCATCTAACTCATGACTGTTGAAACAGAAACGTGCTTTGTCCAGTACTGCTCCACACAGGACTAACAATGCTTCCTCATACCTAAACACAAGACGAAGTCAAACACCAAGAGGAGAAGCAGCAGCAGCAGCAGCAGCAACAGCAATATAATTATATAAGCACACGATTACATGCACTTCAGTGCGATATGCCGTTTTAATCATAACATTTATGCCAGAATTTTTTCGGCAGGAGCACGAGGCAGCCATTGATGAAAAGGAGACTGACACACACACACACACACACACACACACACACACACACACACACACACACACACACACACACACACACACGGAATAACATCACAAAGCTAAACGTCCAACATCAGAGAGGTTGCGCATAACAAAATCATGTAGCGCTCGATGGATCCTGCAACGACGATAAAGGCTACAAAAATCGGTTGACTAGGACCTTGCGCAACCGTGGGGAATTGCATGCGGAGTATGGGAAATAGGTCTCGACAGTCGGGCATGCACGTGTCCAGTGTACGACAGTCAAGCTATTGTACAACATTGTTTGACAGCATGGTCGTGGCAATGGAAAATAGGTTTCATTGCTCAGCTCTTTTTCAGTCGAAAGTTGGCAAAGGTTTGAACAAATTTCATTAGTGTAAAAATGGCTAATTTTAGCGACTTGAGCGAAAGGAGTGTTTTCGCTAAAGTTTTGCCGCGCCAATCGAAATTTTCCATGTACAGTACAGCACAAGTCATCATTCTTTTTCAAGTCTGAAACTCGGATCGCTAAAATATTTCATCGCGAATTGGTCCAAATTCAGAAAATGCTAAAAACCTTACCCGCTAACATGAGCCGTTCAACACTACTATATGCTGTAATGGGGAAATCTTATGAATTTTCGCTTTGTGTAACCTCTCTATTCTAACATTCGCTACAGTCCATTTCAAAACTATAGACGCGTACCTAGGCAAAACCGTTATGCCAGCATCTATACCACATAAAATCTGTGATCACTTTGTGCATAATTTTTTCCAAATTGGGCGTCTGTTATCCAATCGTTTAGAAACTATAATTATGACAGTAATTGTGGAGCGATCCTGAGCAATATTCCGAAAACTATTCTCAAAAAGTTCCAGCCAAATTTGAAATATTTCAAAAACCCTACGCGTCTATAGTTTTGAAATGGACTGTAGATTCCTACGTCATGTACTAGGTTCCCCGTGCATCTTTTCCCTAGCATGCAAACAGCACCCTGCACTCTTGCGATCCCGCGCACTCTACTACCCGTATTTTCCGGAGTATACGCTACATGTATATACGCTGCAATTTAAACACAAGTAATTCACCCAAAAAAGTCGTTGTGGCATATACTACCATGGTCAAAATAACAGTGATAAATAATAGGCTAGACGTCTGTATTTCGTGACAAGAAAACCTGGGTGCGGCTTAATGCTCCAGGGTGGCTTATACTCCGGGAAATACTGTATTCAGTACACTAATTTCAGAAATTTTAGGTGCTCAATATTTTCGGTATGAGGGCAAATGGCCAGGTTAGGTGAACAGAAATTTTCGGTGTAGAGACACAGTTCCCCATCGGAGTATGTGTGTTAGTGTTTGTTCGGTGTATTGAAATTTTAGGTATGAAACAGACGCACCAGAAGTACCGAAAGTAAAAGTACACCGAACATTTGTGAAATTACAGTATCCCGTCCGCTGCATGCATGACACGCCCCGTACACATAGCTCCTGTGTCTCTATCCCCGAATGATACCTACAGTCCAGTGACCTCCCCCCCCCCCCCCCCACCCCCCCCCCCCCCGCCACACCCACCACCCCTACCATACAAAGGGCATAGCTTCCCCGCATTTCAGTATTGCACCTTACATCCCGCTGGCCTGGTTAGCTGCACCCACTCCCACCACCCATACAAGCACCCGCAAAAGCTACCTATTTTCCGTGCACGCGCGCGCGCGCGTACTTTGGCCGACAAGGTGTGCAGAATTTCTGAAGAAGAATAACAAGAGCAGCAGCGCTCGGAACAGCCGTGCTGGATACTTCCAATCCCGACACGATGAGGAAACTGCTTGTGGACAGCCACAGCCCCGAGTCAACTGAGTTTCTGTGTCCATCTTACTTGCAAGGATTTGCTGAAGACAAGTAAAGTCTGATATGCACTCTGGCAGGAACTGTGATTCTGCTAAGTTCCCTCTTGTATGAAGCTGATGTCTGAAATATTATATATTCTCAAAATATTCTACAAGTATTCCTTTTGACCCTCAGGTACTAGCCGGAATGGACCGATATAAGGCTTTGTTCAGGTTGTGGATGGTGACGTCATTCCTCTCCTAGAAGACGTTACCAAAGGCCTCGCAATAAGGAGCACGGAATCAGCGCACAAGTTCCGACTTGTGCAGAAAACTACCCGCCGGCTATCAGCCAGCTACTGGCCAGTGTGCCAGGACTTTCACTGGACACCAATGTGGCAACCTTGGTAAAGTGGGCAACAGCAATGGACCCATATCCGGCTTTGTTCAGATTGTGGATGGTGATGTCATTCCTCTCCTAGAAGACGTCACCAAAGGTCTCGCCATTAGGAGCACGGAATTAGCGCACAAGTTCCGACTTGTGCAGGAAACTGCCCGGCTATCAGCCAGCTACTGGCCGGCGTGCCAGGACTTTCACTAGACACCAATATGGCAACCTTGGTAAAGTGGGCAACAGCAATGGACCCATATCCGGCTTTGTTCAGATTGTGGATGGTGATGTCATTCCTCTCCTAGAAGACGTCACCAAAGGTCTCGCCATTAGGAGCACGGAATTAGCGCACAAGTTCCGACTTGTGCAGGAAAACTGCCCGGCTATCAGCCAGCTACTGGCCGGCGTGCCAGGACTTTCACTAGACACCAATATGGCAACCTTGGTAAAGTGGGCAACAGCAATGGACCCATATCCGGCTTTGTTCAGATTGTGGATGGTGATATCATTCCTCTCCTAGAAGACGTCACCAAAGGTCTCGCCATTAGGAGCACGGAATTAGCGCACAAGTTCCGACTTGTGCAGGAAAACTGCCCGGCTATCAGCCAGCTACTGGCCGGCGTGCCAGGACTTTCACTAGACACCAATATGGCAACCTTGGTAAAGTGGGCAACAGCAATGGACCCATATCCGGCTTTGTTCAGATTGTGGATGGTGATGTCATTCCTCTCCTAGAAGACGTCACCAAAGGTCTCGCCATTAGGAGCACGGAATTAGCGCACAAGTTCCGACTTGTGCAGGAAAACTGTCCAGCTATCAGCCAGCTACTGGCCGGCGTGCCAGGACTTTCACTAGACACCAATATGGCAACCTTGGTAAAGTGGGCAACAGCAATGGACCCATATCCGGCTTTGTTCAGATTGTGGATGGTGATGTCATTCCTCTCCTAGAAGACGTCACCAAAGGTCTCGCCATTAGGAGCACGAAATTAGCGCACAAGTTCCGACTTGTGCAGGAAAACTGCCCGGCTATCAGCCAGCTACTGGCCGGCGTGCCAGGACTTTCACTAGACACCAATATGGCAACCTTGGTAAAGTGGGCAACAGCAATGGACCCATATCCGGCTTTGTTCAGATTGTGGATCGTGACATCATTCCTCTCCTGGAAGACATCACCAAAGGCCTCGCCATTAGGAGCACGGAATTAGCGCACAAGTTCCGACTTGTGCAGGAAAACTGCCCAGCTATCTGCCAGCTACTGGCCGGCGTGCCAGGACTTTCACTGGACACCAATGTGGCAACCTTGGTAAAGTGGGCAACAGCAATGGACCCATATCCGGCTTTGTTCAGATTGTGGATGGTGATGTCATTCCTCTCCTAGAAGACATCACCAAAGGTCTCGCCATTAGGAGCACGGAATTAGCGCACAAGTTCCGACTTGTGCAGGAAAACTGCCCGGCTATCAGCCAGCTACTGGCTGGCGTGCCAGGACTTTCACTAGACACCAATATGGCAACCTTGGTAAAGTGGGCAACAGCAATGGACCCATATCCGGCTTTGTTCAGATTGTGGATCGTGACATCATTCCTCTCCTGGAAGACATCACCAAAGGCCTCGCCATTAGGAGCACGGAATTAGCGCACAAGTTCCGACTTGTGCAGGAAAACTGCCCAGCTATCTGCCAGCTACTGGCCGGCGTGCCAGGACTTTCACTAGACACCAATGTGGCAACCTTGGTAAAGTGGGCAACAGCAATGGACCCATATCCGGCTTTGTTCAGATTGTGGATGGTGACATCATTCCTCTCCTAGAAGACGTCACCAAAGGCCTCGCCATTAGGAGCACGGAATTAGCGCACAAGTTCCGACTTGTGCAGGAAAACTGCCCAGCTATCTGCCAGCTACTGGCCGGCGTGCCAGGACTTTCACTAGACACCAATATGGCAACCTTGGTAAAGTGGGCAACAGCAATGGACCCATATCCGGCTTTGTTCAGATTGTGGATGGTGACATCATTCCTCTCCTAGAAGACGTCACCAAAGGCCTCGCCATTAGGAGCACGGAATTAGCGCACAAGTTCCGACTTGTGCAGGAAAACTGCCCAGCTATCTGCCAGCTACTGGCCGGCGTGCCAGGACTTTCACTAGACACCAATGTGGCAACCTTGGTAAAGTGGGCAACAGCAATGGACCCATATCCGGCTTTGTTCAGATTGTGGATGGTGACATCATTCCTCTCCTAGAAGACGTCACCAAAGGCCTCGCCATTAGGAGCACGGAATTAGCGCACAAGTTCCGACTTGTGCACCCCGCCAACAAAGCACCACTGCCTTTTTCCCAAACTGACCGGGCAATCATGGGGTAAGTTCACAATCACCACAATTACCACACTGCACAGTACGTAGTGCATTGGAATACTCAAAGCTCAGCATTTGAAATGTAACAGTTCGTTTTCTTCTTGCCTTGACGTGTTCGTTCTCAGACCAAGCTCTTACAACATTGACAAGCAGCGTTCACCAAGATCCTGTAGTGCGCAAGTGGACTCGTGCAATAAGCATTACAGCGGACACCCCACTTCTTCTTGTCTTGACGTGTTCGTTCTCAGACCGAGCGCTTACGCCATTGATAAGCAGCGTTCACCAAGATCCTGTAGTGCACAAGTTGACTCCTGCAATAAGCATTACAGCGGACATCCCACTTCTTCTTGTCTTCACGTGTGAGTGCACAAGTGGACTCCTGTAATAAGCATTACAGCGGACACCCCACACTCACACCTGGTGTGTTCACCTTGTACTGTCCTCATGGCATCTGTTATGGGCTCGAGGTGAGCCGTCCCGTGTTTGACCTCCTGCTTGAACTGCTGCTGGCACTACCTCCCATGCCACGCCAAGCACCATACACCCACAACATTGCACCATCATTGAACACTCATCCTCGCCAGACATCTCGTCGCGGTTCAGTGTACGCCCCTGTCGTGCAACATCTTTGTCTTGGTCGTTTTTTCTGACGTTGTCCGTGATACCTCACTGTAGTTACTGTCACGGCACCTGTTTTTTATCTTCTCTTTGCCACCTCCCCCCCCCCCCCCCCCCCACACACACACACCATAGAACATAGCTTCCCGTGTTCCAGTACTGCACCCTAGGTCCGTCCCGTAGGCCTGGGTAGCTGCACATTTTTCTATCATCCATACTTGCTCGAGTACACAACCCCAACGCGTGTGCAAATCCCGCATACAGTGCTATCCTGACAGGATTTCTAGTTGACGAGTTTTCGATGTAATGCTTCTTGCATAAGCGATTTCCGGCACACGTGTTTCCTTGAACTACAGTGCTGGGAACTGAAATCCGACCCCTTAGAGATGCGTTCACATTCTAGCGGTCTCAATTTCGTAGTTTTACTATCCCGTGTTGGGTCTTTGCGATGTGAGCGCACCGCTCAGGGGGTTGGATTTCAGTTGCCAGCACTGTAGGTTGTACAGGATCAAGTGAGCATGTGTCAACCGAAGGTAAAGGAAATGTCTGATAACACGCGTACAACACATACGGCATCATTAAAAATGACATCAGCTTGAAATTCTGACGGGACAGCACTGATAGTGGAGTTGCACCCTCTTACGGCGTACGTACTCTTGATATTTGCCAAAGCCACCCAGGCCCTTTATCTAGCCCTCCCAGGCGCTTGCTCGGACTCTTTTACTACAACGAGAACAATCTCCGCTACTGTTGACCTGTCCTGTTGCCATTAGAAGTAGTGAGAGCCAATAAAACACATGGTACATAAATGTACACATACTGTCGCGGACATGGAAATCCAGTCGATTGACCGCGGCCGGCGCCCTCAACGCCTACAGAACGTAAGTCGTTGCATGCAGTGCACAATCATTGATCCGATGCGACCAGCAGCAGCAATACGTGCTACGGCTGCATGGCCAGCGCCCTGGGGCCGCTAGACGTGCGACCGGATTTCTATGTCCACCACAGTAGTTTGGTGTGGTGTGAGGCAACGTAATATCACATGATGCATGTACATACTTTGCCACCCGCCGACGCTTGGCATCAATCTGTCCACCCGCCGAAGAGAGCGCAGCTTCAGCTTGTACATGCAGGAAATCAATGAAGTCTATCCAGAT